ACGTGATTTGCTCACGCAAGTAACGCCCACTTCGCAATCTCTCAACGGTTACGCCTACTTCGATGGATAGTCCACATTGTACGGTTGACTTGCTATTTGTGAATGCATCATTCACCTCCTGCGCTGTTGCTTCTCAGTCTCGTCTCGAACATTCACACATCGCCTACACTCTCAACGCCTGCATACTCTCGACTGCTAATGGCAACACAGGAGCGACTTCGACTGTGATGTTAATACACCTCTCACATTCAGCACTCAAAAAATCGGTGACTCTCTGCCGGTCTTTCACAAGTACATCAACTAGTGAGATCTGTTCATCGAATTATATCCCTGATAAAATTCTGGTGGGGGAGTACTGTGGCGTAACTACCACTACAAAAGTTTAACATCATTCACTAGTATATAAAGCATGCTAACTTGATTCAATCAAGGGGTACCTTTTCATAGATGACGGTTGACATGGTCGATAACTACTATTCCCCACAAATGCAATTGCTCTATAAAATTTTTATAAATATTGATTTCAAACAATTATATGCTGTTAAGTGCTCCATTAATAAAATGATACTATTTTACTTATAAGTAGAGCAAATTATAATTTTTTTAGTTCGGTGGTGTTTGCTCTTTTTAAAAATAGTCTGGTATATATATAAGATCCTGTTTTTCTTTTTTTCAAAAAAATATTGTGATTTTTTTTTCTCTCCGGCCAATGAAGCATGAAAAACTCAAACCAGTGCTTATCCCTTCTCCCCTCTGGAGGTGCAGAGATTGAATCCTGCCTCATCTGTAATAAATTAAAAGCAGGCTTTTTCTGACATTGACAATTTTTTCTCCATATATACTGTTTATAATTTTTTAATCAAAAACATAAACAATTTCTGGTATTGTGTTAGATCAGTGCAATGACTGAAGGGGTTCAGCTTTTTTCGGGGAAAAACAAGAATGTCTCTTCAAAAAGACTAGATAACAGTTCACAAGTATGCCCTCTTTAAAAATATTAGAAACAAAATTTTTCCTAATGTATGATCCAATGAGATTCAAAAGTTCTTGCTAATCACAGCGATAAACAATTCTGGCTTCAGAAAAAGGTTCGTTTTTGTGTGTATCCTAGGCATTTTTCCTCTATTGAACATTGGAAATTCATTAATTTTAAGTTAATAATATGAAATATGGTCATAATTATCCTATTTAATTAATGCACATAAGACTTAATAAAGTGCAATAAAGCATATACCTTACTTGTATAAAAACAAGGTATTTTATTAAATGTTAATGCTGAAAAAATTTTCAAAAATAGTGTAGCTTACAGTTAACCCTAGGGTCCTCTCCCCACTTGACTTTAATTATTATAGATTATAATTAGGTGAGAGTTAAAAATTAAAACTGATTTTTTTGTTTTGTGTTAACTTACTTTTTTTCTAGTTTTGGAATTTTTTTCTATGTTTAATTTTTTTGCTCAAATATATCCTTTTTTATAGATATCAAATTCTTATTAAAATTGGTTTTCCTTATTAAGATGCAGCCTTTTTCCTGAAAATAATATAGAAAATTTAATTTGCCTCACTCAAGTATCTAGAAGCCTCGTTTTCTGGATTTTGTCAATTTCCATGCATTCAGGATTGTTGAGCTTTTTGTATTTTTTTAAAATTAATCTTTTTCAATTAAGTGTTGAATTTTTACAGATTGTTTTTTACCTGTGTTTTGCTAAATTTAATTTTAATCAAAGAATATTTAGATCGTTCTAAAATGTGTTTTGCAATCATATTGTTCTTACATAATGCTGGTAGCTTTTGTGTAAAACTTGTAAAAACTTAATTTAAAACCTAGAACATATTTCACTGGAAGGAAATTAATGATATTTTAACAAAATTGTTGATATTGTCTTGAATTGTTTATCAATATTTTATAACAGGAAAAGCTTATATGAAGTCTGTGATTCTTTTGATGGGGAAAATGACTTTAAATACTTTAAGAAATTTTTCCCAGAAATGTCAATTTCTGATGAAGAACGTCTAGAAGAGTTTTTGGTTGAAAAATATAATGCTAAAGAAATTTCAAAGAGTGGAATGGCTGCTTTATTGACAGATTTGAATAATGAGAACCAGAAGTCAAAAACGTGGGCATTGCCTGGTAATTTTAATTTTTTTGTATTTATGCTTTGATTTTTTTATTTATTAATTTTTTTGTTTTGTATTCATGTTTTTTGTATTTATGTTTTGTATTTATACTTAAATTTGTGGTATGTTGGTGAAAAGTGGTGATAAGATTTAGCGTATACCCCATCTTAACTGTAAATGTATTAAAATGTATTTAAATAACTTAAAATATTTGAAATTTAAGTCTCAAATATATTTAAATCATGGAAGAATTTGTAAGTTTTTTTAAAAATATTTGTACCTTTTTCTATATATGATTTTTTAAAATCATCTTTGTTCTTGATTGATTTGAATTCTATTATTAGTAAACACCTATTTGTTGATTTATGATGAAATTGGCACGAAATCCGGCCTGCCAAAAGATGATCATTTTAATGCTGATTAAAATTATTTAAATCTGCTGAAATTTAAAAAAGTATAAAAAATGAAATTTAAAAAATAATTTACTAAAAAAATAAGAAAATATGCTTTATTCTTAACGACTGCATAGTTTTTGTGAGAGGTTCATTATTTTGGAATTTTCTTTAGAAGTTCGTTGGTTCCTGCTGATTCAGAAGTTTTGATAGAGTTCATGGGTGCAAGTCTTCCGTCCCCAGGACGGATTTCCGTCTTTCAAAAATGTTTGGGTCGGAAGTAAGACGGAAACAAGACTTACTCGATGATGGAAATCAGAATTTTTTTTTCTGTCCTTAAAAATGTTTTTTAGGTCTATGCTATTGGTCTACTTTCTTATGTCCTGTTGTTATTTTATCAAAAGAGAAATGAATAAATATATTTTGTACAGTATTTAAACTTGATGTATTATGGTAAAGCTTTCTTAGATATTTTGCATATGTCGAAGGGGTATTGTGTATGTTCGGTATTTCAGTCTTGGCCTTTTTTCCAACTTGCACCCATAATGGAGTTGCGTCTAAATTTATAAATTAGGATTTTAAAAAAATGCTATAATGGACCTTATAGAATATGAGGCATAATCTCAAAATCTCATTAGTATTTCATTTATTTGCAATATGAATTCTAAGTTTTTGATTTTTATTCTTGAATGTCTTCAACAAACTTTCAAATTTAAAAGAAGAAAAAACTAGAAATATAGAAGGTGCTTATAATTTTACCAGTTACCAGAAATTCTTGCTTGCTAGCAACATTTTTCAAATTCTTAGCACGCTGATTATATCTATCAATAAAGGTTATTCTTTGTTGCATTTCCTATTCATATTTTTTAGTTAGTTAAGCATTTTGTCCAAGCTCTGACAATATGCTATAAAATGTAAATTTATATGCTAGTGTCTGGTCGAAAATGTAATTTTACAAGCATTGTGTTGCTCAAAATATAAAAACTATTTGCTTCACTTGCTTTGATACCCAAGTTTTCTGCTCCAAAATGGTTATGCTGCTATTCCTTTTCCTGAGTTTTTCTTATTTTGAAACCTCTCTCTTGAGTATGCAAATTTAATTTGTTTAAAATTAAGAATTTTTTAAAGGGAAAAAAGGACTTTGAGCTTTGATGTAAAAGTCTTTTATGAACAATGTACTTTTTTAGCTGAAAGTTGCCCTTTTCTCAAGGATATTGTGCCATTTTTTAAGTCTAAAATGCACCATAGAGATAAGTATTATGAAATTATTCATTTAGGAGTCTTTTTGTTACTCGTGCTCATACCCTATATTCAAGATAAAACTTTTTTTTTACTATTATTTACTCAATGAAATATTTTGTCTTTCAACATTAAAAAAAATTACTTCTACTGGATACAAGAAATAAATAAGACGCATAAAGCAAAATTTTAATGCTTATTAAGATATCCCAATCAAACTTTGAAATAAACACGAAAACAATTCCTACCTTTGACATATTTATACATTTTCAAATTGGCCACCATTGGTTTTAATGTAGACCCTGTAAATATGTTTTATAACTTAGTGCTTCGGGCCACAACTCACATGATAATTTGTCCCATTCTTTGCACTAGAATTTTTCTGGATGCCTAAGTCTTATCAGGTTTAACACAAATCCTTGTCTCTATGTTAACCAAACAAAAAAAATTATGAGATTCAAATCTGGTGTATAGGGTGGCAATTTATCTGTATGAGAGCAACAAAAAAAAATTTACATTTCAGTGCACCATTCTTGAGTGCCTTTAATTTTGTGTGTTGAAGTAGAATCTTTTTAGAAGGTCAATTTTGAGTTTCCAAAGATCTTTGTTGATCAAGGAAGCACTTCATTTTCTAAAAAGAATTTGCTGTGTGCTGTGATACTTAGTTTATTTATTAATCATTTAGTTTTAAACTTTGACCAATCTATTTTTTGGCACCTGGACACAACGTGAACAAATATGAGCTATTTATATCAACCTAGTGTTGTATTTACTACTGAAAATACTTAATCTCATGAAGATTTTTACTTGTCCATGCTTAAAATTTTTATTCTACTTTTAAAAGATAATAGAAATGCCTTATATTTTCAGATGAATATCTTATAAAGCAACCAACAATAACATCACCTTGTGGACTTGCTGTTATAATAAATCACGAAAATTTTAACTGGGATGAGAATAGTGGTTTAAAACTGGAGAGAAGGAAAGATAGTTTATTAGATGTGGGTATGTTATTTTTTTCACCTTTTTTTATTTTCTTGAATGATCTGTCATAGAATGCCATCTATTTGGGATAAAATGTCTAACACATGCCTTTTTCAAGAACTAAAGTTTTATATTTGAAGTTGGCAAGTTATTTTTTTATAAGTTTTCAAGTGCAAATTTTTTTGTTTGTTATTATTTGCAATCAAAATTGCTTACAAAGTTAGTAAAAAATTTTTTATCTTTGGCAACAACTAGCCAGCATTAACGTGCGTTATGGAACGTTTGCTAATTTATATCTTGTTTATGAAACAAATTGAAAATGTTTAAGCTTGAAAGGTATGATGCTAACAATTAAAAACTGCATTAGAGATGCATAGCAGAGTTGAGGAAGACTTCAAGATCTTAAAAATAAGCAATTAGAAAGCTACGACATGAGGCAGACTACTACAAAGTTTAATTGTTAAGGATGCCATGGATTGTAGCAGCAGGGAATAAATAATAATCATAGTGCATAAAAGCATTGCATAAATTTTAAAATATATTTTAAGTGCATTGTGTATTAATTTAAGCTGTGGTTCTCAGGGGATAGAGCATTACTTCAGGTGACCCAGGTTTGAATTGCAGCTATGGCTGTTTGATACAAATTCTGCTCCTGGTTTGCACCAACCATAGTGGTAGACAGATCATGGGGTTTTAGAATCTTCTTGTTATTGGGCTAAGTGAGAAAAGTTTTTCTCTCCATGTAATGCAGATGCAGGTTAGTTCCACCAAAAAAGTTCTCCACAAAGGCTAGTTTATCCCAATGCCTGATCCAAGAGTTCTATTGACTTCTGGGTTGAGTTCAGAATTACAAGGATACAGAGTTGCTCATAGATAGTTATAAACTCAGAATTAGGTTGGCAGTTTGCAGGTTATGTAATAAAATATGTATTAATAGTTTAAGGTGAAAGTATTGCACTACATTTGCTTACTACTAAACTGAAAAAAATAAGAAAGGAAATGTTGTCAACATAGACGAATGCATTGGAATAATTTTATATATAATCGAAGGTACATATATTTCATAGGAAAATTTTTGTTCATGAAATGTTTCAACAGAAGTAATTTACATAAAAGTATTAATAAGAGAAATCAAAATTATTAAAAAAGCAATTAAAAACTACACTACCGGAGAAAATTGCGCTATGCAGCAGAAATTCCATAAGAAAATTGAAACCAGTGGAAAATATAAGGAAGTAAACAATAAAAATGACAGCCCAAGCTGACGTCGTCAGGAGGTACTAGCCCCAGAAGTCATAAATGCAAAACCTTTTCTATTGAGACAGCATGACAAATGTCTCAGTTGCTCACTGTGTATCATGGGTGCAAGTCTTCCTTCCCCAGGACGGATTTCCGTCTTTCGAAAATGTCCGCGGACGGAAGTACGGCGGAAACAAGACTGACTCGAAGACAGAAATCGGAATTTTTTTTCTTGCCATCATTAGTAGAAATGCTGAACTGGGTAGAAATTTGATCTTGCCACATTAAAAGAAAACAGAACTAATAATTTTTTATCATTTCTTTAATTTTAAATTCAATATTGTAGAAATTAAAAGGAAAACCACTTTCCAGATATTTTAAAAAATTGTAGCCCCTTGAAAGCATTCAACATTGCAAATTTTATTAAATCTTGACAATTGAGAAAAAACTAAATTTTTGAATATTTTACTGCACAAATTGGTATCAAAATTAAAGAAAAAAATAACCTTTAACTTAAAAGCTTTCCTTTTAACATAAACACCAATTTTCATTTGATTATTACTAATATCAATTTTAAAATCTAAAATTTTCAACATTTAAGCAATTTTCATTAATCCTCTTCAAAACCAAATCTTAAGGATAAATATTAAAAATAAAATCATAACTATCACAATTAAATAAAATTAAATCATCAATATGTCTAAAAGCTTTTAACTCATTGAACTCTTAGTTTCAAAAAAATGTTAGCAAAAGCACCAGAAAAAGAATTACCTTGTGGAATCCGTATTTTTTGTTTATAAAAATCAAGGCCATTAAAAAGAACATTTTCAAAAAGATTAAATTTGCAAATATCTATCCAATAAAATTTAGCAATTAAAAATTGAAAAATAAAAATTTTAAAACTTGTCCTTTAGCTGACAATTTACAAATTGATCACCATTCCTATGTATTTTTTTGTAAATGTTTTAATATAATTTATTTAGTTCAATGTAATTGTTGCCATTTATGTTATATTGGACAAACTAGTTTAGAATTTCATAAGAGAATTAGTTCTCACAGATCTGCTATTAAAAATTTTAATAATAATGGTACTACAGATTATGAAATTTTAAATTTTTAATTTCATGATTTTGATAAAGTTACTCTTTTTATTTTGGATTTTATGGAAAATTTAGGTGATAAGCATGATTTAGAAAATATTTATATTAGCAGTCTTAAAACTCTTTTTCCCTATTGTTTAAATAGTATATTAAATGGAGAAGGTACTATTATTGATGAATTTTGTATTTATGACAAATTTAAAGTTTTTAATTTTCCTAAATCTTTTAATTCAAAGTATAGATATAAAAGAGGTAGTGGTGGAGTTGCTAGTAAATTTATTGATTTTGATGAATTTTCAAAAATTTGTTTGATGTTTCGAATCTTTGTGTTAACCTGAGTAATATTTTTATTATTAGGAAGTATATTTTTGGATTTTAAAATAAAGTTCTAAAAAATGTCTTTTTTAAATTTGGGAATAAAATAAAATTTTATACTGAACTTATTAAATTAATTTTAATAGATTTGGTTAAGTCACTATCATAAAACTAAAGTGCTTTTTAAAAAGGATTTCAATGTTAGGAAGGTTTTTTGTATTATTAACTTCCATGATAAAAAATTTGATAATACTAGGATTTCACAGGTTACTCAATGTTTTTCTGATATTTTTCCTTTAAAACAACTTAAAGTTGTAGCGGCTTATAAATATTCTACTACTCTTAAAAAAAAGTTGGTAATTATAATTTTTTAAGTTGCAATTTAAATTATATTTTATTGTCTGATTGTTATTGTAATAAAGAAGAATTTTCTCAGTATATTGATATCAATTATAGTCATGTTATTACCGGGAATTTAGAGATTGTTGGAGATCAAGATTTGATTAGTATTTTGAGCAGAGGATCTAAATTTAGAACAAGGTTTAAAATGAAAAATTATGATTTTATTTTATCGGTTAAAAGAGATCTTGATTGTTTTACAGTTAAGGAAACTAAAAAATATCATTAGCCCATTGAAGGTTTTACAGAATATAAGACAAGGATTCTTTAAAAAGTTAAATATTATTTAAATAATTTCAAATTTTGTTTTTGTCCTAGTGGTTTCATTTGATTATGATTTGCTTGAGAAAATTGAAATACTTAGGAATAAGTTTATTATTACAGTTGTTGATAAAGATTTTAATAACTTTTGTATTATGTGTAAGAATTTTGTTTTTTAAAAATTAATTATTAGGGAATATAATGCTAATAATACTTATCTTAAATTAAGAGATGACCAAAAAGTTATTGAAAGTATTACTGCTTTCAGTAAAAAATTTAAATTTAAATTGAATAGAATTACCTTTCCTTATTTATTTCCTGTTGTTAAATTTCATAAGAATCCAGTAAAACTCAGGTTTATTGCTTGTGGTACTAATTATTATAATTCTTGTATTAGCAAAAAAAATTTAATATTCTTAAAATTGAAAGTGAGAAAAATATTTTTTTTAATAGTAATGTTGATGTTTCGAATTTTGTTGAATAAAATGAGGTTTTAATACATTTAGCTGTGAAATTCTTAATACCAGAATACCTCATGCTCAAATACTTGATATTTGTAGTGGCATTTATGATAAATATTTAATTAATGAAATTATTGTTAAATTTTATTGGATAGATATTTATAAATGAAAAATAAGGATTACACACTGTAATTCTTTTTCTGGCGCTTTTGCTAACATTTTTTTACATTTGTTTCAAGCTAAGTATCTTGAGTTCAATAATTTTAAAGCTTTTAGATATATTGATGATTTAGTTTTACTTAATTGTGATAATTATGATTTAAAATTGATGTTGCTAAAAATCAAATTAAAATTAGTGTTTATGATAAAAGGAAGGCTTTTAAGTTAAAGGTTATTTATCTCTGTAATTTTGATACCAATTTGTGCAGTAAAATATTCAAAAATTTAATTTTTTTCTCAAATGTCTAGAATTATTAAAATTTGCAATAATGTTGAATGCTTTCAAGAAGCTACAAGTAATTTTTTTTTTAAAAATCTGATAAGTAATCGCTTTTCTTTTAATTTTTGCAATATTGAATTTAAAATTAAAGAAATGATTAACATTTATTAGTTTTGTTTTCTATTAATAGGGCAAGATCAAGTCTTAGTTGAGTTACCCTAGTTAAGCATTTCTACTAATGATGGCAACTGCTTTCTTGCTCCTTTTCTTTCCTTTTTCTTCCTTCTGCACATTAAATTAGGAGGCGTTGTTTTTTCGTTCATTTTAGTTTATTTGAGGATTTGTAGTGTGTTGTGTTCTATGGTTTTGGAATTTATTACTTTTAAGTAAGTTTTTGAACATTGTTTTCTTTTGTATTAGTTTAAGTATTATACTTTTGTATTCTTTTTTCTCCCTACCTGGACTTTTCCAGGTGGGGTACAAAGAGAGCAACTTAAACATTTGTAGTGCTCTCTCGATTGAAAAGGTTTTGCACTTATGACCTCTGGGGCTGATACCTCCTGACGATGTCAGCTTCGCTTGTAACTTTTATATTTTTCATTGTTCACTTCTTTATATTTTCTATTGGTATACATTAAACAATACTTTCGCAGGAAAATTCAATTCTTTATTAGTTAAGGTTTATTACATTGGTAATATCAAAGAGAAATATATTTATTGGAGTTTTACCACTTCTCATTTTTTATAGTTTTCAGATATTTTAAGATTTAATTTTAATAATAGTACTGTGTGTTACATATTGTTTGTTTAGATGCTTTAAAGGATATTTGGAAGTCATTTGGATTAGCTACCGAAACGTATAATGATTTAAAAGAAGAAGAAATTTTACGCACCTTCCAAGAATTATCAGAGAGAGATTTTTCTATTTACGATATATTGGTTGTGTGCTACATGTCTCATGGAAATGAAGGTTAGTTTGAATTTGTAAAATTTGCTCATTGTCATGTGTATATAATTTTGTATATTGAGTCAGGTAGCTTAAATGGACCATAAAAAGCCCTTTTTAATCAATAGATTGTACCTACAGGATATACTTAAAAATCTTCAAACCTTTGTTTGAAGATTTTTAATTATTTATTATTTTGTAATATCTTTTTTTTTTCAGCATGTTTTTATAAATTAGGTTTTGTAAAGTGATTTTACTGGGGAAAAAAATCTGAAATGGTTGCTTTTCCTTGGATAAATATTTTTGATTGTTAAAAATGTTACATTTTGGCTTTGTTTAGGAAAAATTAATTAGCTTTGATTAACTTATTCGCAAATTTATAACAATGAACATTTGTCTTTAAAAGCTGATATGACTTTTAAACCCTATGGTTAATTGGGGATAGTTGGTTTACTTTTCAGTTTTTTTTTTTATCTCATTAAAAGTTATCCATATATGTTAATTTTTCTTTACATGACGAATAAGATACTTTTCACCATTTATAATTTTTTAATAAATATTTTGTTAAAATTATTTTATGTATTTTTTTAAAAAATTTGACCGTGGACTAATGTACCTTAAGTCTAGGGTACCTTGGTCCACCACATGGGGCACATTGAACCCTGTAACAAAAATATGTTAAAAAACTATTGAAGGATAATTTATAACAACCTGAAGCTCTCAAAGAACAAAAGAACATTATCAAACAATAACTGTGCAATAAAAAGCCTGCATTTTCCTGAACAGGGTTCAAAGAAAATATGAATTATACCATCTTTGTGTATTATTATTACTCTATTATCGTTTCTTGGATATAAAAAATATTTTTATCATGACATTACACAAATTTAATTCATTATAGAGCATTAAAAAATACAGACACAATCGGAAAATTTTAAGTTTGTAAAAATCTTTGTTCTTAGTCATAATTCCTTAAAAAATATCCAGTAATTGATAAAATTTAATAGTTTTTTTTCTTTTTTAATTAAAATACGCAGCAAGTTTCTTGTGGAATTTTTAAGAGTCTATATATGATTCTGTTTAAAATAATTTTTTTTTCGCCTAATTATCCTCTAAACTGTGTTTTAATTTTTGTTCCAGTGAATTTTGTTCCAGATTGTGTAGACTACTTTAAGTTTTGTAAACAAAATTAATAAAATACATATATGTAGACAAGATAAATTTAAAGTAATTCAGTAGTTTTATGAAATACAGTGAAACCTATAGGAAAGACCATTTTTGTGTAGTGACCTCCTCTATTTAGGTCCACTTTTGAGAGGCACAGAGTTTTTGCCATAGACTTTGTGTTGAAGAAAACCTTTAGGAGAGACAATCAAAACCTCTCCCAGCAACCATAACCAACAAACCACCACACCAAATACAGGAGAGGTCAAAATAAAAAAACATAAAAAATATCAAAACTAAAATAGTAACAAGGCAAAAATATTTAAACAGCAGTTTCACCAGCCATAAAGGTTAATTAGCTACCCTTACTGTGCATTTCCAATATTCCGTATTGAAAATTGACAGGAAGCGAGCATAAAAGAGAAAAAATGATCAAAAAAAATTCTGCTTGATGAACCAAATATTTTTCGAATTTAAAAGTAAATGTGTTTTCCTATTGTTCCACTTGAACAGGTTATATGTCATTGTTTTTTTCTCTTATACAATATAAAATGTTTTTCAGAAATAAATTAGTTGCAGTAAAATAAATAACATATTCAAATTCAATACCTCAAAATCAATAAAAATTTCCCTTGTTTAAAGACTATAGCAAATGTGAATATAATAAAACCTCGTTAACATTAACACGCTTAGTGTAAATATCTTTTGATACTAATATTTGATTCCCCATCAAATTCTATGCACGTTTAATACTTTAAAGTACTTTTAACATGAAATATATTTTAAGATGAACTCGAATTTCATTAACCTTGGAAAAATTTTTACTTTTAATGTAAACAGAAAATTTATTTCCCTTAGGAAAACTAATCATTCACAGTTCTATATCTATGAGAGTCGTTTTTTTTTCATGCCTTGTTATAATTGCAATATTGCAGCTGTTAAATGAAAGACTTGTATGAATTGAATCTGTTGAGGTAGAGGGACATTACAGGAACCAACATAAGCCCTTTTGTAGTCTTAATAAGAATAAGAGTTTTCTTTCACTCAGGAAGGTGAAAAGAAAGATACTTTCCTGAGAAATGACTATCCATATTGATCCTCTGTTCAATGTGGTTAGTCATTTCTCCCACACTCTCATAGATTGTTCCAAAAAATGGATATTGCTGAATTGCATTTCTACCGGTGAAGATGTGTGGAGATAAAATTCTTAGGGAATACTTTGGTTTATTTTTCTCAGGATGCTTACAAAGTAATTAAAACTGTTTGTTCTTATGTAATTCAAAATGAAAATTCGAATCAATCTCTAATTGATAAGTTTGAAAACTTTTGAAAAGCACGAGCAAATGAGAAACTAAAACAGCATGCTATATTATTGATTATTTTTCAGCAATCCTCTCTAATTTGTGCAATAAATCCGCTTACTCCTGTTAGTTGCTTTTGGATAATTTTTATTGGCTTCTATGGAATTAAAACAAAAATAGAGAACCAAAAGTAGGTACTCTGGTTTTATTTATTATGAGTTTTATAGAAGTTAGTTATTAATATAATATAAAGCCCAAAATAACATTTTTTAAAATGAAATATATATTAATTTACATATTCATAGTAGAAGAAATTTAAGATTAGAAAACGCAAATAGATAATAGATAGAGGCAATAGAAAATGTCTATGTATTATACGATTCCCAACTGATAATGTAAACTACTTTTAATGTCCCCCTTCAAGTTAATAATAACGAGGTTTGACTGTATATATTATTTTCTCTTAAATTTAAAAGAAATTGGATGTTGGACTTTTGAAGAGCTGTAGTGCACTTGCTTTAACTTTTTTAACCAATTTTACATCTTAAATGGTAGGTATTTGGATATTTTGCTAGCAAAAAGCAAATACTTGGATTTTCAAGTACTAGAACTCAATCCTAATGATTAATGGCAATCCTAAACTTAAGTATATTACTTAATTAGCACAGATCATACTTTAAGTTATGATATCAGACAAAAACATACTATCTCTGTTTAAATATACTTTTTTGTTGTTGTTAGAGAAGAATAGTAATCACATTTTTCTGAAGCAGCTTTCTTGTATGCTATCAGAATACTCTGATTGGATGTTCAGTTAGAGCCAAAAAAGGCTATAAATACAAGTACAATTATGTTCTTAACAATTGTTTTCTTTTCTATCAGTGTTTTCCTTGTGTACTTTCCAACTGTGTTATTCACTCTCCGTGTAATGTACTAATAAACATAACATTATTCGATCCATTGATCTCCAAGTTCCATTACAATCACATTTTTTTTAAACTTTTGACTCTCTAAATAGGAGGATAGACCCAACCTGGAAAATATGGTCCAAATAGTTTAGGCAGGTAAATGGGTAAATAATCTGGCTTAATGTTAATTCCACTTTTTGTGTATTTTGCCATATTTCCGAAACTAATGAAACAGATTATTTGACCATAAAGTTATATGGATAATATGGATAATAAGAGAAATTCAATAAAACTTATCTTTTGTTATTTAATTTACTAATGGTTAAAACATTTTTGATCGTAAGGTATACAAATTTTTATAACATTTTAATTTATAAATTTAAGTAACAAAATCAATCATTTTAAGAGAATTGGTAGAATTGCTCTTGAAAAATAAAAATTTTAAAATAATACTTCTTTGAAATTGTGAATTACCCAAAAATTTATATCAATATCAAGGGGCCTAAACTTTTGACCCTTTCCTGCCAATACTATTGGGACCTTACTTTCTAGGTAGCTGCTGCCTCAGATATTTTGAGGACCAAGTACATTTTTCTGTTTGATCTATTAACCTAAAGTATTATCTACACTAATTATTTAACCTTTTATTATAATTGTAATTATTAAACTTTTTGAGATTAGGCCCATTAACTATAAGATTAAGCCGTAGTACATAAAAATTCGGTCATCAGATCAAAAGTTCTACAGTGCGCAAAACAAAAATGAATACACTGAATAACTGCACATCATGCTTTGCATTATAGAATTCTACAACTAACACCATTATATGAACAAATAATGAACTTCGCATTCAAATTTATAATGGTTAAATAAAACTTTTAGTTAGAACTCAAAATATTTTTCTCAGTCTCATATTAAAACTTAAAGGTGTATTTGAAAGCTTTGCTTAAATGATGGAAAAGTAAGTCTTAAACGCCTAAAAATTTTAATGAATAAAAAGAGTTAAATTACGAAAATGTAATCAATATTTTTTGCAAAAAATAAAGAAACATCACAAACTTAGTTTTTGCAATTTTCTACAACAATTCAGTCTCACAACACAATTTTAATCAGAATTTAAAATACTCGTTTTTATATCGAATTATCATACCAAAACCTGTCTATTCCAAATTAATATAGTTATAGTATCATTTTGTAAATGTAATTGACTTAAGTAACTTTTTATTTTATCATTTGTAAATTTTAAGAATTATAAACCTTATGCATCTACAATTTATAAATCAGTAGGCATCTTGTTTGAAAGTTAATTACTTGATGCCCCAGCATTAGTTTCTTAGTTTAAATTTATTTTTCTTGCTGTGTTTGTGTAGTATGTACATTTTTAGGTATAGTCAGTTTACTTTTCTAGGTGTTGTGTATTCAAGTGACTGTAAACCAATACAGATTACCAGTCTNGCTATATTATTGATTATTTTTCAGCAATCCTCTCTAATTTGTGCAATAAATCCGCTTACTCCTGTTAGTTGCTTTTCAATAATTTTTATTGGCTTCTATGGAATTAAAACAAAAATAGAGAACCAAAAGTAGGTACTCTGATTTTATTTATTACGAGTTAAATAGTAGTTAATTATTAATGTAATATAAAGCCCAAAATAAAAATTTTTCATGCAAAATATATATTAATTTACATATTCATAGTAGAAATTTAAGATTAGAAAACGCAAATAGATAACAGATAGACACAATAGAAAATGTCTATGTATTATACAATTCCCAACTAATAATGTAAACTACTTTTAATGTCCCCCTTCGAGTTAATAATAATGAGGTTTGACTGTATATATTATTTACTCTTAAATATACTCTTATATTTAAAAGAAATTGGATGTAGGACTGTTGAAGAGATGTAGTGCACTTGCTTTAACTTTTTAACCAATTTTATAACTTAAATGGTAGGTATTAGGATATTTTGCAAGCAAAAAGCAAACACTTTGAATAACTTTTAATCTAATACTTGAATTTTCAAGTAATAGAACTCAATCCTAATGATTAACCCCTTCCTTCTTGCTCCAGTGGAAATGACCGGGTGAGTTTTCGCTCGCTCTTTCTCGTTTCCCTGATATTGACGGGCTGGAGTGTTCAGTAGTAATGCGCCAATAAGAATAAAACTAATTAATTTCTTTTGCCCAGAAAATATTTTATTTCTCATTTTATACGCCATATAGCAGTACCGGGTTTTTTTTTCAGGTAATTGTAAATAGTTAGTTTATTTTAAACTAGATACTAGCACTAATCAAATACAGTACAGAACCTGTTATCCGGAAATCAGAAAACCGGAACGAAATTCGATAAATTTTCCCGCAATTTTTAAAAAAAAAAAATTTTTTTTTCCTAGGATTTTTCTTTAGATTTTAGGATTTTTCTTTCTTTTTTGAAAGATGTTTACCTTACCATCATTTTGGAAATAATTATTAGTGTATTACTTTATCATTTTTTCTTCTTTTTAAGATTATTTCCAAATATTTATTTTTTTGTAGTTGGGTTTAACAATAAAAAAACGGCTTTTTGTAGCGATTCAGAAAAACAGAAAAATCAGTTATCTGGAATGGCGACGGTCCCGATCGTTCCGGATAATCGGTTCCCTACTGTACATGTATTTGGCAAAATAGACACTTTTATGACCGTTTTCTTGAAAATTAACCGATTGTTAAGGGGTTAATCGCAATCCTAAACTTAAGTATATCACTTAATTAGTGCAGATCATACTTTAAGTTATGATATCAGACAAAAACATACTATCTCTGTTTAAATATACTTTTTTGTTGTTGTTGTTAGATAATCTTTTGTTGTTGTTGTCCGAATGCTATCAGAATACTCTGATTGGATGTTCAGTTTGAGCCGAAAAAAGGCTATAAATACAAGTAAATCCTTAACAATTGTGCTCTTTTCTATCAGTCTTTACCTAGTGTTCTTTCCAACTGTGTTAGTCACTGTCTGTGTAATGTACTAATAAACAAGTCATTCTCCAATCCACTGATCTCTAAATTCCATTACAATCACATTTTTTCAACAGATTTAAACTCTTGACACTCTAAATAGGAGGATAGACCCAATCTGGAAAATATGATCCAAATAGTTTAGGCAGGTAAATGGGTAAATATTCTGGCTTTTAATGTTAATTCCACTTTTTGTGTATTTTCCCATATTTCTGAAACTAATGAAGGGAATCAAATTATTTGACCATAAAGTTATAAAGATAATATGAATAGGTGTATTACTCATGCAAAAGATAAGAGAATTTCAATAAAACTTATCTTTTGTTATTTAATTTACTAATGGTTAAAACATTTTTGATCGTAGGGTATACAAATTTTTATAACATTTTAATTTATAAATTTAAGTACAAAATCAATCATTTTAAGAGAATTGGTGGATTTGTTCTTGAAAAATAAAAATTTTAAAATAATACTTCTTTGAGATTTCGAATTACCCAAAAATTTATATCAATATTAAGGGGCCCAAACTTTCTGCCCCTTTCCTGCCTATACTATTGGGACCTTACTTTCTAGATAGCTACTGCCTCAGATATTTTGAGAACCAAGTACATTTTTCTGTTTGATTTATTAACTTAGAGTATTGTCTGCACTAATTATTTAACCATAAGATTAAGTCATAGTACATGAAAATTAGGTCATCAGATCAAAAGTTGTACAGTGCGCAAAACAAAAATGAATACACTAAATAACTGCACATCATGCTTTGCATCACAAAATTATACAACACCATTATATGAACAAATAATAAAGTTCACATTCCAATTTATAATGGTTAAATGAAACTTTTAGTTAGAATTCAAAATATTTTTCTCAGTCTCATATTAAAACTTAAAGGTGTATTTGAAAGCTTTACTTTAGTGATGGAAAAGTAAGTCTTAACACCTAAAAATTTTAATCAATAAAAAGAGTTAAATTACGAAAATGTAATCAATATTTCTTACAAAAAATGAAGAAGCATCACAAATTTAGTTTTTGCAATTTTCTACAACAATTAGTCTTAAAACACTATTTTAATCAGAATTTAAAATATTCTACTCATTTTTATATTGAATTATTATACCAAAACCTGTCTATTCCAAATTAATATAGTTATAGTATCATTTTGTAAATGTAATTGACCTAAGTAACCTTTTATTTTATCATTTGTAAATTTTAAGAATTATAAACCTTATGCATCTATAATTTATAAATCAGTAGGCATCTTGTTTGAAAGTTACAGGTTTTCATAATTTTTTCAAAATCTTTGATGTTTTTTAATTACTTGATGCCCCAGCAGTAGTTTCTTAGTTTTAATTTATTTTTCTTGCCCTTTTTGTGTAGTATGTACATTTTTAGGTAAAGTCAGTTTACTTTTCTAGGTGTTGTGTATTCAAGTGACTGTAAACCAATACAGATTACCAGTCTTATAGATTTAATGGCAAACAAGTGCAAGTCTCTCATCGGCAAACCAAAACTATTCTTTATTCAAGCATGCCAAGGAGCACAAATACAGTGTGGTAATAAATATTTAACCCATATTTTGTGTTAATAATATAATACATTTATAATAAGTTTATTGAATAATAAATGTACTCCAGCAAGTTAACCAATATTTGTTGCAAGCTTTTTTTTTATGATATTCTTCTAATATCATAAATATCAAATAAAGCAAAAATAAATGTTTAAAAAGCTTTTAATGCAATTATTCCTACCTATTTAAGTATGGGAAAACCAAATATAAATGACTTGATTAATAGATTTTAAAATAATAAGAGTAAAGTTTAGTTATACCAATATTTCTACTATGAAAATAATTCCCATTCAATTAAATGAATAAAATGAAAGAAATTAAAAATTACCAACACAATTGTGGTAATTAATAAAACTTGATAAAGCACAAGAAAATTGAAAAAAACTTCTCATGTACTTAAAAAAACTATTCTCAAATTTTAGTATCATACTTAATTTTAAAATCAATTAAACCTGCTATAATAATTTATTATTAAATGAGATTTATATTATCCTTATTTTCTTAATTAAAATTTTCTTAAAAAAAATTTTTTAACTGATGAATTATGTGTACTTAGAATATTTTTAATTTACCGCATATTCTGTTTTTAAAAAAATAATTGCATGGTTTATAATTGCGCAAATGTAGAATTTGTGTTAACACGTTTACATCGGATACTGTTAACGATATTTTCTTCTATATATTGTTTCGAACTAAATTTGTTATTCAAAAAATTATTTTAGAATTATGCTCTTCACTAAAAAAAATTTTTATGTGCAACTAAACTTCACCTTTTACATTTGATGATCTTAGTAAAAAATATTGAATAAAAAAAAAAAAGAATAGAAAAGGTACAAAAACAGAACAGTAAAAAATAAAGAGAAAAATAACTGGCCAAATTACTATTGGCAAAAAAGTGCTTAACTTACAATTTGGAAAACATGGTGTTTTAAATTACTTTACAATTTGTTTGCCACATGTATTTTTCTTCACATGATGAGTTTGAATGTTGGGAACAGATTGAACCTATGTCGTTTAAATTTTGTATTTTGCTATATGAAGTTATTCTTTAAAATGATGTAAAAGTTTGTATTCCTTACAATTCGAAATTTTTTCCGACTTTTATTAAATAAAATGATAAAAATTATAAATATTTAATAGAAGTTACTTTTTGCATGAAAATATCTTGGGCTAAACAAATGTTATAAATGCGTGCAAAAATATTTCAATTCCCTTAAAAAATTTTCAAGATATTGCGAAATACAGAAAAATAAAATAAACATATAGGAATTCAAACTTGGAACCACTCTCTTGACCAAACTATTGCAACCATATTTCCTAGTTTGCAACTACCCTTTATACACTGTCCAGTCACATTAATGTGACCACCTGTCAAAAGCATTAACCAGGCATCTGCTGGAGAGGCCCATGCGCAGCAACGTTTGATGAACCGTTGTTGAGGATACAGTCTTGGTAACACCTTGGTTCATCTGGGCAGTCAGTTGCACGTCTATTCGCCCGAATACGTCCCAGTAGCCTTTGCTCACCTCAATCATCTATAGCCCGTGGTGCACCACATGTGCCACTCCGCTGATTTTGGGTAGTGCCATTTTGCCATGCACGGTATACTTTTACCATAGAAGCACGTGAACAGTTCACAAAATTAGCCATTTCCAAAATGTCCGTGCCCTTTTGAACGTCGGATAAATTGCTATGTTTCTACATTGCGCCAACGGTTGAAATGCTTTCCGATACCCTAGGACATCCTTTATATACCCTCCACTGTAATGTGCTGCCATCTGCCTTCTGTGGTTGACTATTTCAGATTAACGTCGAAAGTGGATGGTGGTCACATTAATGTGACTGGACTGTGTATAAGGAGTCAAAAATCCAAATCTGCCAAGAAAAAGATTTGTTTATATTGAGAAAGTACCATTTTGTACCTGTTTTCATCTGCACTAATTAATTAGCATGTTTGAAATCATACCCTTGAACCATTAAGATTGAGTACTAGCACATGAAAATCTGATCATTAGATCAAAAGTTATGAAGATTTTTTTTTTATCTTTGCACTCTGCATTATGAATTGACAGCTAATTAGAAGAGTGGAAAAAAAGGACAAAAATTGTTGGTCAATCTATAAGAATATGCATTTTGAAAAACAAGCTATGAATAAATAATGTAAGAAAATATATTTAAAATAGAAACTGAAATACACAGAAATAGATACTGTAAAAAACACAGAACTGAATATAAGTTATTATCGACTACTTATGAAGCTTAGAAACTGGAGTTTTATATAATTTTGAAATCAAATGTAACCAGCTTCATTTTGAACAAAGTTCGACACTTTTTTTCTATGTTTTAGGAATTTCGAATCCAGTTTTTTCACCTCAGCCAGTTACAAATTCAAGTTTCGATGAATATCCAAATGACACACCTTATTTTGTGGATGTTTTAGTAGCAGTTTCAACTATTCCTGGGTAATTCACTCTTTATTCATTCTATTTATCTCTGATTTTTTAGATGGTTGGCTGTCTCGACCTAAATTTCAGAATTTTCAAAACCCAAAGTAAAAGAGCACCATTTATTAAAGCATGTACCATTAGAGGGATGTTGCACAAAAATTGTTGGAACAGTGGCCAGTAATCTCCAAATACTTCATTGCAACATGCCAAAATCAAACAAATATTGGGTCAATCTATAGAAATGTTAACAAGTTTATTAAAAATATTGCTTCTTTACATTTGAGAAATATAACTTTGATTAATATTTTGAAAGATTTAATTTGTAATGAACTGAGAGTTTATCGAAGGTTGAAGTGTTAATAATGTTTCTCTGTTCAATGAATTATCATACATTTTGATAAATAGCATTTTTGTCACAAAAATACTATATTTTCCAAGGATATCTACTTTCTTCGCTTTGTGAAATTTCTTTTAAGTAATTTTTAAGTTTCTGTTAAGTAGTCTTTTAAGTAGTAAAGTTTGTTTTTATGCATGATTCTTTGTTTAGTAACTTTGGTTTAAAGTTATTTTCTGCACCATTTCATGCAAATGATTTAAAAGTCAACTTTGTTCCTGTTCTCTCTTGATGAAGCTTTTGAAACGTTTACGAAGTTGAGTACAGTTCTAAAATCTTTCATTCTTATAGTATACCTCTCTATAAAATATTTTGTAAAAAACGTAGTAGTTGGCAGCCTTGTATTTTTCTATTTGAAAGCTATTGCAGATATTTCTTTGACTGTTAGCTATTATATATGTAAAAAATAATTGCAACATCATAATTAAAGAGTTTAGATTTCTGTGTGTTTAACTTTACTTTAATTTCAAATTTTGGAAAATCCAATTTAAAATGATATTTTATTGGGCTAATATATTTTTTAGAAATGTTTAAATGAGAAGAAAAAAAAATTTTTTTTTCAAATTCAGGGATACTGATATCAAAAATGCTTCCGTTAATTATTGAAAACTTCTTCTTAGTGCATACAGTAATTCTGCACATAGCGAAAAAACAGTCACTAAGTTCTGCATTAAATATTTATTTTCAAACTCAAAAAACCTATTACTAAAGATTTATGTTGGAGCAAGTATTTTGCAATATACTAAGAAGTTCAAATTAGAGAAATTCTTTGGTACATTTTACAAAAATAATTGTTATGTTGTAATTGATGGAATTATAATGATCTAATGATGTAAATCATAGTATTTGATGGAATAAAAAAAAATTTACAGAATGAAATTCTTATATGAAAATAACCATGAATGTTAGAAAATCCTAATTAAAACTGCTTATGATTTATGGAAAGTTATTGAATGTTCATCAATATGATCATCATTGTCACTCATTAACCATCACAGTTAAAAAAAATGAATAAAGCAGCCGCGGCGAATAGTATAAAAGAAATCTAAGTGTTGACCAAATCATTATTCCAAACCAGAGAACTTTCAATTTGTTTCAACAAAATTAATTCTGTTTAGGCTAATCAAAAAAAAAAAAAAATGCTAATTTCATATTGTGTATACAGACAGAAAATTTTAGTACACTTCTGAACATGTCAGTTTCATTTTGAAATTGTTAAATATATTGAAAAATACTTAAATCCTATGATTAATTTAATCTTAGTTCTGATAACATGATGCAATCTTGCATTTTGATGCATGTCTATTAAAAATTTATAGTAAAAACATGTGTTCTTCACTCTTGTGAGAATCATCCTTAAAAAAGAAAAAGAGATAAGATTTCTGACATGATTTTAAGGCAGCACAGCACTTTTAGATGTAGACAATATGTTTAAAAAAGTTGTGCAAAATGTATCTTAAAACAATTATCTAAAATATTTTATTTTTATATCAAGCACGGTATTAAATAAAAACTTCTGTGAATACTTTATATAATAAAGTGTCTGCCATTTATTAGAATCATAATTATTCTGAAAATACTACTATATTTTATTAATTGACTGAACCTGAATTTCATGAACTGACATGTCTGCTCAAAAATAAAAAAATGTTTTTTTAATGTTAAATTTTACAAGTACACTAAAAGGTAAATTATTCATTGCATTTATATTTTAGTTTTAAATCTCTCGATATAGGCATTCAAGATAACTAATTTAACTCAAAGGGAATATAAAAATGTAACCTCAAACTTCATACATGAGCAAAATATGTTAATGGATGTTCTTGCACCACTTTTATGGTTGATCTCATTTAATTTATTTAAATTCCTTTTCAACCCTGGTATCTGCTATGGCTATGTTACATTTTTTCTTGTTAACTGTTCGGCCATTTAATAACTTTCCATAAATCATAAGCAGTTTCCATTTGGATTATTTGACATTTTCATTTGGATTATTTTTCTTTTTTTTTTCTTCCTTTTAACTGAGACTTTTCTATTTTCCTAAGAAGTAAAATCTTCAACTATAGTTAAGTTCTTTTTGTCCACGAGTGGCAATAGAATTTGTTACCTATATGCTGCACATCTTTTAGACAGGAAAAAGCATGAATTTTGTAACTTTAAAACAAAAGTCTTTCTGATTATATAAAACCATGGAAATGATTTTATTAAAAGGTGGTTTTAACATGTTGTGATAAAATATTAATGATTATGTTCTTGCAGATATTTGATTTTAAAAAAATAGCTGATTTTATTATCCAGAGATTTTATTCGTAGTTTTCACTGTATAAGTGATTATGTAATGCTAATGATATTGAATTCTTTAAACTTTTTATAACTAAATATTAGAGGTACAATTAGGTAAGTATAAATATTTTTAGCTTAAGCTAAATGGTTTTAATTTCATTTTAATGTTATAGTGTCATTTTAATGTTATAGTGTGCAAAATTCATGTATAATTGTTGTGTATGCAAACTTTGATTTTTATTTTATAATAAATTTTCTTTAAATATATCCTATATTTTACTGGTGACTTCTACTCTTGATGCATATTATATAGTGAAACAGTGGTAATTTTTTCCTCAGGTTTGTCAGTTTCGCCTCTAGAAATAATAACTCGTGGTTTATACAAGCCCTGGTTGAAAATGTAGAACAATTTGGTCACCAAAAAAACTTTACCGATGTTATGATAAAGGTCACAAATGATGTCTCACACAGGAGAGGCGAGTGTAATTTTCAAGGACAACCAATTAAAAACTGTAAGCAAACTGTAGAAACGAAAAGCACTCTACGAAAAGAATTACATTTAAAAAAACTTAGAAGTTAATAAAAATATAGCCTGTTATATCTTTGTCTATTAATGCTTGTTGAAAGTATAATTTTGTATAAATGTTTATAACTTGTAAAATTTTATAATTTGTATTAAATGTCTATAATATTAAAGAATTTTTAATTTGTGATCTTTCTTTTTAAAAGTAACAGAAGTTTTATTCTATGAAAAAACCAATCTCTGATTTAACATTGTTGGCAAAAGTTTGATATTCTAGAGGAGGAGAGTGGAGAGCACATTAGAAACCTTCTGGAGGTCAGTTAAATTATTAATTTAAAGAATAGAATAAACTCCAAATTAAATGTGTTTCAAGTTATGTTTAGGAAGTTTTTAATGGTGGCTAGTAAAATCAAGAATAGAGTTCTTTGTCCGTAGAAATTATTTTATGACGCTTATTTAAAGTCTTAGAAAATATTTTTACGATTCGCTAATTTTTATGTATCTATTTCAACAATCAATTTTGTGGTTCAAACTTTGAAAGAAGAAATTTATTGATAAACGCAGCCTAAATATTAAAAAGTATTTGAATTCTGTGATAGTGTCCTTGAAAATTTTTTGATTTTCTCAGATTAATTTTCAAAGTAAATAATCTTTCCTACAAAAAGCAAGAAAAAAACTTTGAGCAAAATTTTGCTCCGTCCCCCTTCTTTTGCAGTTTTTTTTATTGAAGAATAGTTCAGGGTCAGCTAAGTGACAGTCTCAAAGTCTGATCTAAATTTTGAGAAAGACCCTTATCTTTATTTGCTACTCTTCTTTGATTGGATTACAAAATACAGTAGGGTGTGACAAAACCAATAGTGAAAAGAAATTATTAAATGAAACCATGTTTGATATTATATGGTAAGTTTTAACTACAGTTTTACTGTTTTTTTAACCATGTGTACCATACCATGCACTGATTTTGAAACCCTATATTTTATTTGCTAATGTTTGAAAATTAAAGTTTTATTTTAATTCAAAGAGAATAGAAGGGGATTGCCATGAATCCTATATTTTTTCTTTTTCCAATACTGAAAATTTGGTAATTTCTCATATATGTAATTTATAATGCTATCAAATATGAAATGGTAAAGAATTTTGCACTAATGCAATTTTTGAAAAGTTTCAATAAGTAAATTCTTGAAGGTGAAAGGGGTATACATAATTTTTCCCTCCTACCATTTTCTCACCAGAATATTGTTCACTTTGATGTTTAGAAAATCGGAATCTTTAGCAAGTAATTTCAGTTTTTGTACATAGTTACCACTCAATATGCAGTGTTTCTTCAAATTTTAAATATAATCATTGCGCTAACTGCATTTAATTTTTACTGCCTAATAAGTCATATTTAGTTGGTCAGATTCTGGGAAATGTGATTTGCATGAAAATGATTTATGTAATACGTGTCTGAGATCTCATTGAAGTGGTTTGTAAATCACTCATCAGGGTTTGCATTAAAATGCTTTTTGAATGATACAAAGTGATCTGCATTTTAGTGTTTTCTAAAATATGCATTGCAATTTTCATTCAGGTTTTTTAAAAATCATGCATTGGGATTCATGTTAGGATTTCAGAATTACTGTTTGTGATTCTCATCAAAGTGATTTATGTATCACATATAGCGATTCTAATTTAAGTAATTTACTGTGTACAAAATTTTACATAAAAATTATTAGCAAAATATGCATTGTGTTCACTAAAGAAATCAAAGAATCACTCAACATGATTCGCATTAATGTGGTTTATGTTTCACCCATCGCTATATACGATTTGTTACTTTGCACATTTTTCAAACTGTATCACTTGCTATTCATGTTGTTTTCATTTAGGAATCCTACGCTGCGTAAGTCATATTTTGCTATATGTAATTTACACAATCTTCTAGGCTTACTTCATGTTTCGTGCAATTTGATTTACGTGAAATTTATCACGATTTGTATACACACAATTTAAAAATCAGGCATAGTGAATCATATTCATACAATTTAAAAAATCAGGTTTTGCAATTAATGATCTATTTTAAAAAAATAAAGTTTGGTAAATTTTAGTTTGTTATCTGTCAAAATATTGTACTACCAAACATTTTATTATGTCCAAAATACATTACTGATGTTCTGAGGTTATGAAAAGATACTGTGTTTTTAAAATTGAAACAAATATGCTAAATATATTTCGTTCTAATTGACTTTATTAAATTTTTCATGAAAAGTATTACTGGTTACGAGATTAGAGGATCTTTAAAAGTTGGCAAATATGCTAATTTCAATTGAAAATTTTTTGTTTATCTTCAAGCCATTTGCATTGGTAGCTGTGGACTACACATATTAAAAAATTGCCACAACTTTTAAGCAATATAAAATTTATTAACTTAATATATGCTTCAATGTAATAAAATCTGTTTGACATATATTTTAGCATACTAACTATTACTTAGTCGGTCCTTGAAAAATTTGCTTTTAAGTCTTTGAAAAGTCCTTTAATTTTTTTTTATTTGAAAATATAGTGGGAAAATTTGGCTGCACACCTTATAAAAAAAACTGAAGTTTCTAACCAAAAGTCTGGATTTAAACCCTGTGGAAAACTTGTGAAGGGTGGTCTTAAATTAGAGATGTGCATATAACTGCTAAGCAAATTTTGAAACAAAATTAGCTATCGAAAGTCAGTAGAAACTGCCTATTTTCCCTTGAAAACATTAGCAATCATCTTTTGAATAACAGACAAAATGATATGTCATTAAAACTGCCTTTTAGAAGTATTTTTATTTAATGTCATAAGTGATCTTAAATTTTTTGCCAGTGTTTGTATTAATCCCTATTTAAAAATAATTTGTTGATAATATAGAATAAACATATTTTATATTAACATATTATATAAACATATTTTATATTATCCCACCTATGTATGCAAAGTATACATAAAAAGTGTAGTTGAAACAAATTTATGTACAAAAAGTTGATCAATAAGGAGAAAAGAGCTTTACATGCTGAGGGAGATGGAATGAGTATTGAATGAAACAGGAAATAAAAGTAGAATGAAGTTATGATTCTTAGATAATTATATTGAAATTATTGATTCGAAGATTTATTAGATTGTGTGATCAATTTTCTATAAATAGAATTAATAAAGTTAAAGGAACAGTTTTTAGCAAGAGTTTTAAGGTAAACTATAGATGATTTTTCAAGAAAATAAGTATTAAAACAAATTAAAAAGGCACAATTGATAAGCATGTAGAAAAGCAACTAGTTTTTGATGTGGGGGATGAGATGAGAGTTTAATGAGTAGTCTAATAAAATTTGCCTTAATTTCCAGTCAAACATAATAGTAAGCAGCAAAGTTATTCAAAAAAGTTTATTACAATTATTAATTTAGGACACTGTACAATTTAATAATTTAGTACACAGATCGTGGATCACAGATAAATATGATTCAAATGGAACTACATTTTATAAATATTAAAATTTGTTCTGACCAAAATTAAACTGACATAAATTTTGTCATAGCCAACTCTCTTTACTGACAATCAATATAATGACCAATACTTTAAAGCAAGTTTTGTATTCCATATTTGTAATGTTATTTTCACCCTCATTAGAATGTCAAAACATGTTTGGCCACAAGTAAAAGTTAAAAGACAAAATTATTTTTTTGTTAAAATGAAACAACTTGTTCTGTTCTTTGTCTGAGTAAACTATTGCATATATTATTTAAACATGCATGTTTGGACTCTCGTTTGACCGCTTTGTTTGTTGATTTTGTATAGTGAAGCAGTTGGCTTTCAGGTTCCTAAAGTAGCATATGAAAAAATCATGCTTATGCTTCTATTTTTGCTTTCAAGATTTTCATGGCCAGAGCGGGATGTCCTACGTGTTCAATGTAATTTACAGCATTAAATGTCAAATAAGTATGTTGATAATTTATATTTTAAGGTTTTATAGTAAATGGTTTTAGTTTGACCATTCAGGTTCAGTGTATTTTTATTACATGAGTTTTCACCCTCGAACAAATCTTTACACTAAAATTTAGTTTCATTTTTCTCATTTCCAGAAAACTCTCTTCAAAAACAAGTGTTAAAAATGTTTGCGCTTTCAATAACTACTTCCATCGACAATAAGTCATTTCAACGCAAAGGTTTCTAAGACATAATTTAAACTACTATTTTCTTTCTTGTTAAAACACTTCTTGATTGAAGAAATAATGGCACGACTTATTATATTTTTATTCTATGGTGTTTTGAGCATGACCAGCGCTCAAAAATTGGTCGAATGTATATTACACGATTTATAATAAGAAAAGTTATGAAAAAATTTGTGTGCTTTAACACATATTTGCAATTTGTGAAAAAAATACCCTTTCAAAATATATAATAAATCATACATTTTTTTCAAAAAATTAATCTCCTGTGGTTTGTTTATGGTATTCAATTCATTCTTAATTTGTTTTTGCGTAGCTTTTTGCAATTTTATTTTTTGCCAAAATAGCAACTTGTAACCAGCATATTTTTTGCAACGAATTTGTAACTTTTAATGCATTATTTAACAGTATCCAGTTGCTATCTTGCGATACATAAGTTTAGTATGGTTTAATCTGAATTATAAATCGATATATACAAATTTTTTAGTTGTGAGTAAATATTTACAATATTTTACTGACTTAACATTATAGCATTTTAATAATCTTTTTCATTTGAAAAAAAGTGTCTAGGTATTTAGTACAAACTGGACAAAAAGTAAAGAAAAAAGATAATTAATTCAATAATTTCTTTGAAATTTTTTTAAAAGTTTTGACTAATATTCTAAAATAGTGACTTGTATAAATTTCTGATTAATGCCAACAACATTTAAACATTTTCTTAAAAATAAAAACTGTTCTTTTCTTCTTACTCCTGACTATTCCAGGCCCTTTTTGAATGAGCGAACCATATTTTTAGTATACAAATATTTGCCACAGAAGTCTCATTTTCAAAATGGCAATTATTTATTTGCCAGCCTGTTGAAGACCACTGCTCCAAAAGGCTACTACTGTAACATAACGTTTGTAAAATCTATTTCGCTATTAATGGTAAAAGCATATATAAAAGTCTTACATTTTTTAATATAATGATCGATTTACAAAATGGTTTGATATGTATATAGCATATCAGGTTCAGTTATACCTATAATTTATATTTCTGTATTAACTGTAAGAGAACATGATTAGGAATTAAAAGTTTATTTGGAAGAACTTCATTTGTCATTGGACTAGTGTTTTTTCCACTTTCAAACCACTCTTCAATAGCAGCTCTTTCATAGCTGTAACCATCTGAAATGAATTTTTTCAAATGGAATGATAATGTATTAAAATTTACAACTCTTATTTAGATTTATAAATGTATACAAGTTAAAAAAAAATAATAAATACAATGAAATATTTTTAAAAGATTTATTACTGCAGAAAAGAATTCGCACCACATGTACTTTTTTTAATTAACTTTTTTTCGTCATAATTCATTCATTCATGGTAGTTATATACTTTGCATAATAAGTTACATAACTTTAAATACAAGCATTCTTTAAAGCAATTTCACTTTTTGATTAAAATGCATGCTTTGTTTTTTAATTTATTGTGTTTGGGTGAGAATTCACCCAAACACAAAAAAATGATAGGTATACAATGTTTATAAGAAAAAAGTTGTACTTACATATTATATGCATGTATAAGTTTTAAAGGCAAAATTAATTTTTTGTGATTTTTAAAAAATTTAATTGATACTTTCAGGCATATTATTTTACAATATACCTTTAAAAACATTGAAGTTTTATGTATTTTAAGTGTAAAATTCAGAAAATAGAAAAAAAAATTATATTTTCTTATTTTCCTTCTGCCTTTTATCCAACTCTCTAATTTCATCAACTATCTTCCTTTGCTTCAACCCATAAGTATTTAGTTTTTGTAACTAATTTTCTGTAACCATCTACAAAACACTTAAAATTTCCTAGGAATGTTTGATTGGTAAAAATAAAGTTCTAATTTTTTTTCAATTTTTGAAATCTGTTTTATAGTTCTTACTACATAGACATTTAATCATATTTTAATGTTCAAAGAAAATATATTTGTAAAAATTTTAATTTTAAACAGCTTTTTCTTCCTTTTTTTTAAATTTTTGTTAAATAAGCTTAACTGGAACTGAATTTTATAAAAAGTTCCACAATTTCTGAATATAGGTAAAATGTGGAAGGGCCCAAAGTTAACTTTTTCCAACCCCGATTATTTATGTACCTAACATGGTAGGCAGAACCATCTTGTTTCTGCAAAATAAATCTTAACAATGAAACACTTGTTCTCATACTTCTTTTTATTTTTGAAAGAAAGAATCATCTTTATAAAAGGATGCTAGGTAGTCATTAATAGGTGAAAATCACTAAATTACAAAATTAAAGATATTTTCATTTTTTCCTCTATGTAAAAACTTTTTTCCATTAAATTAGAATATGAAAATTGATGTTTGGGAAAAAAGTCATCGATTTAAATAAAATAAGGATCTCCAATTAATTATCCAGTCTATCTCCTCTGCAGAGGATCAAAATTGTGATGGCATGTCTTAGGATGTTTCCCAGACAGCCGCCAATAGCCCATTGTGCAGCTCTAGTGCAACGTAAATAAAATACCTACCTACCAATTAATGAACCATTTCCCCCCTTTTTAATATGTAATACTAAGAATTAAAAGTGTGTATTTGCTTTCATTATCTGCATGCACTTTTGTCACTTCTCACTCACTGCAATTTACTGTGAAGCAATGATATAATGTGCAGATACTGTTCCACTGCACAAGCCAATGGTCGTATATTGACTAATGACAATATTATAAACCATACTATAGTCAGTGTTCTATAATACAAATCCATGATGGCAACTAATAAAAAAAGGTCTGATTATTTAGCCTGTAGGTATAACTTTGTTTTTTTCATCAACATCCATTACGACACCAGGAATGACATCAAAATTGTCTCTAACTCAAAATTAAGTTTTCTTTATCCAATTCTTTCTTCCTCACAATTTTTTTTAATCTTCCTTCCCATATAATTAATGGTACTTATAGTTTTTATGTTTAACGCCTTATCAACAAAACTTTTTTTTATCAGATGTGAATTCAATTATTTGTATATCCCGGAATTCTGCCACTTCCAAGACAGAAATAATTTTTCTTTATTAGAGAAAGACTGAATTCTATGGCTGTACATCAAATCAGAAGTGCCCACGAGGGACAAGTCTCCAGAGCCATTTCAAGAGGATACTTTTTTTTAATACAATTTTGTAATTTTAAAACTGTAAATTAGATATTTAAGGAATACTTTTGATTATTGAAGAGTTCATTTTTTAATATTTGGGGGGGGGATAATTTTTGAAATCTTTTTTGATGGGAAATATTTTTCCAGCCAAATTTATATCATCAATGATCTACTTTAAGTTTACCAAAAAAAAAACGAATAAACGAAGCACATTTACAACTTGTAGCTTAGTTTGAGGGAGATGGGAATTTTTTTGGTGACAGGTTAGATTTCAAAATCTTTTCTTTTTTAGGGGGATACTTTTAGTTTGGATCATTCTTTCCAGCATATTCATTATAGCTTCATCTCAAAATTTACATAGCAAGAGAAGCCACCATACCAATGTATTTGTTGAATTCAAACATAATTTCTTTTTGCTAGGAGGGTGCTTTTTAAAACTTTTTTAGGGGCCTTTTGTTATCATTTGAATCATCTTTGTTATAATTTGGACCATCTTTATTACATTAGAAAAGAATGTTGGAGTTTTAAAGGAAAGTAAAGTTTTTATCCAACATATCCTTATTTTTGTGAATACAGCGATAATTTAGGTAGAAGAATTAATTCCTTGGTACCAATTTACAAAGAATTAGAAAGTAATACTGACATTGATGATGTAAAAGATATTGATAGGGGCAAAAGAAAACGAGTTTCTTGAATATAATGAAGAAAAAGAGTTAGAAGCAAAACAGAGATTGAATTAATTAAATAATACAAATTAATTGAATCTTATTTGAATGAATTAGTTAAATATTTTTTTAAATTAATATACAAGGATTAGTTTGAAGTTTGTGGAGATTATTTTTTTACATTCCATATTTTTTAATACTTTCATTTCTTACTCTTATATGAGTTTTAAAAATTTTCTAATATCAAAATTAATACTTATCACATTGCGATGAAAAACGAGAAAGAAAACGAGTTTCTTGAATATAATGAAGAAAAAGAGTTAGAAGCAAAACAGAGATTGAATTAATTAAATAATACAAATTAATGGAATCTTATTTTAATGAATTAGTTAAATATTTTTTAAAATTAATATACAAGGATTAGTTTGAAGTTTGTGGAGATTATTTTTTTTACATTCCATATTTTTTAATACTTTCATTTCTTACTCTTATATGAGTTTTAAAAATTTTCTAATATCAAAATTAATACTTATCACATTGCGATGAAAAAATCATATAAAAATATACTTTTTAAACAAATTTTTTTTTAATATATATATATTGTGATTAAGTATTTCATCATTTTGAAAATATTTTTTAACACCCAGTGAGAATATTTTTATGCATAATATAGGAAAATATACTATCGTAAAAGAAATATAATTAAAAAGATATAAAATTTCAAAAATTCCTTTATGCCTACTTCAACTTAATTCTTGTATACAAATTTATATGTAAGGTGTCATTAAAATTAAAACTCCACAATATTATGACCAATGGCATGACAGTTGCTATGTAGTCGACATAGCACATCAAATGCCTTTACTTCCATGACAGGCTGGTACCCATCTGTCTGAAGCTGGGTTTACTTTAAGCCGCCACCAAGGATTAAGCCCCAGTGAGTGTGCTAACCACTAAGCCAGCACAGCCCATAATTTACACAAATTTAAACAAATATAATTCACAACCAGAAAGCACAACTGGCAGAAAAGTACAATGATAAACCGTGTACATATATATGCGGAAAAATATCACTGAAATACAGTAGAGAACCAATTATCCGGGATGCTCGGGACCTCGCTATCCCGGATATCTGAATTTCCCGGTTTTCTGGATCGACCAAAAAGTGTCGATAATCGATGTTTTATCGCACCCGAAGTACAAGGAAAAAGTGTAATGCATAAAGTAAGAGAAAANAACATTGAAGTTCAAAAGTTACATAAATTTCTGTTTTATTTATATTTTTTTTTAAATATATATATATATATATATATATTGTGATTAAGTATTTCTCATTTTGAAAATATTTTTTAACACTCAGTGAGAATATTTTTATGCATAATATAAGAAAATATACTATCGTAAAAGAAATATAATTAAAAAGATATAAAATTTCAAAAATTCCTTTATGCCCACTTCAACTTAATTCTTGTATATAAATTTATATGCAAGGTGTCATTAAAATTAAAACTCCACAATATTATGACAGTTGCTATGTGGTCGACATAGCACATCAAATGCCTTTACTTCCATAACAGGCTGGTACCCTGGTAACAGGCTGGTCTGAAGCTGGGTTTACTTTAAGCCGCCACCAAGGATTAAGCCCCAGTGAGTGTGCTAACCACTAAGCCAGCACAGCCCATAATTTACACAAATTTAAACAAATATAATTCACAACCAGAAAGCACACCTGACAGAAAAGTACAATGATAAACCGTGTACAGATATATGCGGAAAAATATCACTGAAATATTAAAAAAAAATTAGTTCTTGACCAGATGGATCAAAGAATTGGTCAATCCTTAACTACACTGCGTTGGAAACATGGACTTATCATGCTGCGAAAAGTTATTGGAGAGCAAACACCAGATATGAAGTAACCCTTGTTCCAGCTCATGCAACAAACAAAGTGGAATACTCAAAGCACCAACTTATCTGCCAAGGTAATCAATAAAGCCACTTTTCAACTATGCTTATTATAATTCTAAAAGTGAAATGTTTTACCCAAACCCATAAAAGTGATTACTAAAATTGGTTTATTCATAAAAGGTAATAAATAAGCTCAACATTTAAGATAACTGTTTTATAAAACTTATAAAAAACAAAGAATTCAAATAAAATTTCCTCCTCCCCCCTTTTTAATATTTTAAAATAAATTGGTTTAAGCAATGTGAATAATTTACAGGATATATATTTTTCTTAAAATGCCATTACATACATCTATTAAATAAAAAAATTTCAAAGCTTTTATTAACTTTAATTTTGTTATGAACTTAAAATTACAGTTTTCATATGAATGACTTGTATAAGTTTAGTGACTCATAAGTTTAGTGCCTTCTTATATCTTTTGAGTCATAGAAATTTTCAGATTATCCATTGTTCAAAGATTGTCTTCATAAACACTTTTTCCATTATATATCTGCACTGAGTCAGCAATTCTCAAACATGGATATAATAAGTCCCTCCTAGCATCTTGAAGCATGTTCCTAAAGTTATATATGGAAACTAATACAGCTTTGCCTCCAAGAAAATGGCAAAGATTCTGAATACTTATTGTACCATTTCAGCACTGTAATTATGAATATAAGTTCAATATTTTTTCTATGTTATGCTAAAAAGACTTTAACCATTTGAATTGAAATAATTGTTTTAATGTTTGTTCTTTTTGTCTGTAAATTGACTTCGCCCTAGAGATTCATTTTTAAAGAAAAAAAACTTGAAAATAGCATGTTGCTTATAAGATGTTAGAGTATGCAAAATTATTTACATATTAGAATTTAAAAGTACCAAAATTTCCCTTAATAAAATCTGAACTTGATTATGACTTAGAGCTTATCAATTTCAAGACTTCCTAAAACCTCTAAATAATCCAAAAATATTATTCCAAAATTCATGAAAGGTCTGCTAAGTTCTAAACAAAAAAGGTGTCATCTTTTAAATTGTGTGCAAAGGGAGAAATCTAGTTTACTACTAACTACAGTTTTTTAGTTTTATGTCAATTAAGAGAAAAAATTTGTTTTGTCAGTTTGATTTTTATCTAAACTCTCAGGGTCTTAAAATCACTTAATAATAATAGCATATAAAAAAAAACAATTTAATGTTGATTAAATTTATTATTATCATATTAATATTATTGCTACTTATCAGGCCTTTCAGGTACCAAATATAATTGATATTAGAGCATAAATGAATCAATAAACAAATAAATTTAAGGCATACCTTCAGCAACAACTGGACTTCTCATTACTTCTTGTGTAATAGGACAGCAAAACTCACTCAACATTAAGGTTTCATCAGTATCAGATAAAACATGTTGCCACAAAGGATTTTTCAGACACTGAATTGCACGGAGAATTTTGTTTCTCTTTCCCAAGCTCTCTATTTAAATACAATTATTCAAACTTTTATAAACTACAATAGTTAAACAAAATAATTATAATAATATATTTTAATTAAAATAATCATTAGTTTTACAAAAATTAAAATAACCACGAAAGTAAACACAATATTTTGTGGAAATTTGCAAATGTCATCACATTTCAAATACTATAGTTTGGCTGAAAGTAAAAAATTTAAAACTAAAATTTTATTTTCTAAGTAGAATAATTTGTTCTGTCCTTCCACAGCATAAACTAATAGACATATTTGTTTGAGCGTCTTTTGTTCGGCTAGTTTGTTCGTTGATTATAGATTCAGTTGACTAGCAAATCAGTTGACTAGCAAATCCGCATTCTTGAACCACTTCTATTTTCTTTACAAAATTTTATGTATAATAGTTCAAATGCAACCACCAGAAAGCACCATGGAGTTTAATATCACATATTTACAGACAAAAGTGTACTTCAATTATTTGTGATGTTTTGTTTAAAATTTTAAAATAAATGTTTTACTATTGAACTTCAGTGTATTACATAAGTTTTCTTTAGATTATCTGACGAACATGGTAGTCTATAAAATATATGCTCGAACATCTTTTTTAAATGCGTATTAGGTAATAAAAATGTATGAAAGTAACTGTTATTAAACTGTTGGGAAAAAATGGCATTAACAACATTATATTTAAATCAACGCTTTTATTGTAGTATTAGCATTAGTAACAAGGAAGTATTAGGTTTTATTAAAAACGAAGTATTAAACAATGATGGAGTGAATGCAAAGTATTATTATTAACCAAGAAGAATTATTATCCTTCATGATTTCCTTTTTTTTCCTCTTTTCCTTTGGTACTGTTTACCTGTCTCATTCAATATCTTGGTAAATTTTGCTAAAATTTGAGGTAAGGCATAAGGAGGACTGTTTATATATAAAGGTAAAAAATACAAACCCTGGGCATATCCAGCTATATAATTATCGAGCCTTGCATCTGTCATGTGCTGCAAAATCTTTATTTTAGATAAGTTTTCTTAAAATGATTACCTAACACTTCAGATAAAATCTGTATAATGTATATAAACATTTCCTAATCATATTTTGGTGTAAAACAAAAGTTTGATTATAATACAAGTATTTCATGAGCATATTATTAATTTTTCAACATATACTATGTTAAAAAATACTGAAATGCCTTTGTTGCAATTTGTAGTCAACTGGAAGCAAGAAGTTTTACATTTATATCACATGAAGGAATCAGGCAACCTTACACCTTACACATTTTGTGTTATATTTTTCCTATTTTTTTCCAAAATGGAACTCTTGATTCAAATTAATTTCAATTTGGATTAAAAATGCATAATTAAATAATGCTTGATTTTTGTACTTTAATTAGAATAATTCATTGGGTAAATAATCATGTAATAGATACATTTTTTCTATTCAAGTCATATTCATAGCTCACATTGTAAAAAAAAATGCATATTATCATTCCAAACACACAATGGAGGGTTTTTGCCCTCTTTCCCCCTCTAAATACTGTGTGTACGTAATTAGAAATTTGCTTAATCAAAGCTTCTGTAAATGTAAATAGTCATCAGAAAATTATAAAATTTGGACTACATAAGTGAAAGCAAATGAAATCTCAATATTCAATTTTTTCTAGTTAAACATTTTTCACGTCCTTTTATTAAGAACATTCTTAATTTTATATGATGAATATAGACAATTCAGATCAAGTAAACCTTAAATTTCATAACAAATCTCGAATGAGATCCTCTAGTCATTAAAAACTCTAAGAAGATGAATTTTCATAAACATGTTCCTAATATTGTAAGCAATTTAAGAGATTCAGTTTGTTTAATTAATACAACCCCTTCCATTCAAAATCATATCCCTGCACTGCTCAATATTAAACTATCACTTTTTTATTCAACTTGCAACAGCTCTCCCAAAGAGTCATTCTTTAAAATGCCAATGACAATTAAAATAACTGTACAAAGTGTTCAAATTACAAAACAAAAATTAAAAATATTTTTTTGAAAGTGATCTAAAATTATTATTTGTAATTATGACTTTTTGATGATCTTAAATGAAAAATAACAAATAACTTACCAACTTTCATAACTGTAAGTAAGTTTTCATGATTCAAATACATAAGCTCTTTGCCATCAATTGAATGAGTTTGGAATGATTCAATTAATTCCTCTAATTTTAATGATTTTAACCAGTTTGCAACATCATCAAGAGACCAAGATAAAAAACTTCTCTTTTGTCCAACCACTATGTATTCATTTGAGGAATCACTAGTGTTTTCAGTGTTAGGGTTTGATATTGTCTCTTTATTCATATACCAGATGGCAATTGTTTTATCATTTGAGCCAGTAGCTAAAATACTGGAATTAAGAAAAGCACAGCAAGTGACATACCTGAAAAAAAAAATAGAAATTGCTTAAATAAAAGAATGAAAGAAACATATAAATACAGTAGAGTCCCGATTATCTGAGTTTCTCCTTTAATCGAGCTATCAAATATTTAAAGGATTTTTTTGTTCTAGTTTATTTTTAAAACTAACTCCGAAAAAAATTTGGAATTTTATCTTCCATTTATTACTTAAGAAAACAAAATCCAACATTATCACTCCCTTATCCTTTTGNAATGAAATAAAATAAACACATGTATTGATAAACAAGAAGAAAATGTTAAATTAATTTTGTGAAGCATTTAATCTTACAAAAATGTCACAAAACATTATCCCTGTGGCAGAATTTTTTTGGGCTTTCTGCGACAATCTTCTAGCACTAATATTTTTCTGCAAGATACTTTTAATAATAACTAATATACATGTAATTAATTAAATTTAAAGTAACAGAAACGTTGTATTTACAAAGAAAAGCCGATTTGGATATACTAAAATTTTATGTATTTTTTTTAAATAATGAATATGTAATATTTTTTTATTCTAATATCATGGGCGATATTCTCACATTTTGTAAGAGGAAAACACACTAATTATTTCTTTTTTCGCATTTCCTAAATCATCATCACATAGAAAAATAATAATTAAAAATCGTAAAATCAGTGAAAGAAAAGAAAACCAAAATTTTTTATTTTTCCCAAAAGGAAATATAAAAAAAAATCACGAGCATTTCTTCCCCTCTGATGAGTGAAAAAGGTATCTCTTGAGTATAATTGTGGTGGAAAAAAAATCTTTCTAACATTTCTGCAGAAAAGAAATTTTTTACTTCAATATTCTTTATTTTTCATTCTTCTCAAATAAGAATCGAAAAATTAAGAGCATTTCTTTCCCCTTCGATGCATGAAAAAGACATCTTTTAAATATAATTTTAGAGAGAAAAAAAATTTCGAAAATTTTTGCAGAAAAGAAAACCAAATTTTTTTACTTTGTAAAGGAAAAATTTTTCTGCAAGAACTCTGTAACGTTCTGCGACAATGTCGCCGTGTCGCCACGATTCTGCCACTGGGAACATTATTAATAACTATTTTTTAAAAAAACTATTTTATTGATTAGCAAATCTTATTTCTATTTATGTAAGTATTGCCCAAGTATTCTATTAATGCCAAAATAATATGAAAACAAATTTAAACTGTCTTAATTGTTAATTTTCCATGGTTTATCTAATTCAGGGTCATGAAAAAAATAGATCAATTTACTAGACCTCTGCTTTTCCTTAACACCCCAACCTGTTAAAAGCAAATAACAAATTTTCTTCAGTAAAGTTTAAAAATCAGGTTTCCCAAACACAGCAATAAAGAAAAGTAACTATACTAATTTATTATATGTATTCAATGCTACATTTGGTTAAATATGACATACACATCTAAAAGAAAATTTTCTTAATCATAATACAACTACGAATTCAATGAACATGAACAATCTTACCTGGTGTGACCTTCTAACTTTTGCAAAGCCTGACCAGTTTTCTGTGATAAATAAAAATAATTCATAGTTACACAAATTTGAAAACATAAAAATTCAGTAGTAAAGAATAGAATAAATATATCATGTATATATTAAAGATACCAAAGTACTCATTGAAAAAATAAAGCATTTATTGAATTTGCTGATCATGCTACTTAATTATAAGATCACAAAATAAAATTTTTATAGTGTTTTGTTTATTTTCCTATGGAAAAAGGAATGAAAATATATATTCTGTAATAATGCTTAAGTACACTTTTCAACTTCTTGATGAAATCTGATTTATTCTAAAGACTTTATTTTAATTGAAATTAGTTATTTTAATTAAAGAAAGTAAATTTAATGAATTATGTAGATAAAGTTTTTGACACTAAAGGGTATCACATCAAAAAATTTTAATGCATCTCAACATATTTAATACACAGAAACGGCGAAATTTTTAGTAAAAAATTAAGGGGAAAATAGTAAAAATAAAAAAAAACTCAAATACTAAGATGGTTGAGGAATTTGGCCAAAATTCTCTGACAATTTTTTTCCTCTATCTGAACCATGCATTAAAGCTTAATAATGGATGATTTTTAAAATTTTAACTATAAAAGACTTACTTCAGACAGTTATTTCTATCATTAGAAGTAGATACATTTTTACAAAATATCATTCCTTTAAAATTCGAAAAGAATTTTGACTACTAGTCTTTCAATTTATTTAAAACTGAAAAATTTAACACAATAATGTTAATAAAATGAAATCTAATAATAAAATAATATTTACCGGATCCCACAGAATAATAAGTCGATCCCCACCTCTGAAAAATATTATTTCATTTAATTAATAGCATATTATTAACATATTAGAAAACTATTAACCTGTATAAATATCTTCACTATATAAGAGCAAATTAAAGCAATACTAATTTACTACTTTGTTTTCTTCCCAATAAATTAAGTGGATTTCAGAAACTCAGACGTTTTTCAAAAGTCTTTTAACATTTTAGGATATAATCCTTTTTTAGAATTCTTTTCCTTACTGCTACATTTTACCAGTTTATAAATTTGAATACATGTTCCATAAACAATTGTAAGGAGTGTGGTTACATGGGAACAACGGGTTAGGTCTGTCTTCTCCCTCAGGGGTGTTGAACAACTTCCCATATGGACAAAAACAAAAGACTTTGCTGTCAGAATTTTCTGAGAAAAAGGTGTCTCAGTAAGAAGGAGATGGTAAAGTGCAAATAAAAGAAGCAAGGAGGCATTAAAATCCTCATTTTTATATTTTTATGAGTAATTTATACTAATTAACAAAAGAATCAAGTTTTAAAGAACATAGTTATATTTATTTTGGATGACTGCTTTTTCCCAACGATTTTTGCATTTTCTCCCATAACTTCCTAAACCCCTACAGGCACCACCTTTGATAAATGGATTTTTTTTCCTGTTACTTTATTTATTGATTCGCATATCTTTATATTTTTTGCAAAATAAGTAGTCATGTTTTTAGTCATATGATGTTTTGATGCCTTTTGTACAAAGCAAATTGAATTTTTCTCTAATGGTAGAAACCAGAGTTGGCCGTTGATTACAGTAATCGATTACAACTGTAATTGATTACAGATAATTACAGCTATGTAATCAATTACTTGTAATCACGATTACAAGTAATCAATTACTTGTAATCGTGATTACAACTTTCAAAAAATTTTGATTACAGCTGTAATCATGATTACAATTTTGATTACAGTAATCAATTACTTGTAATCANAAGTAGTCATGTTTTTAGTCATATAATGTTTTGATGCCTTTTGTACAAAGCAAATTGAATTTTTCTCTAATGGTACAAACAATTTAGCTAAAAAAAATATTTTTTTAAACTATATATTCACTAGAGGCAACACATATTTCATAGGAAAATACAGAATGGGTTAATATTGTTAATGAAATGGGTAAAACCAATCCATCAAGTATAGATGAATAATGTTGCTAACTTAGTAATAATGTTGCAGGGTTTTAATTAAAGCTTGTGCTTTTCAAAAAGAACGATCATAACATATTAATACTTTGATGTGGCTAAGTTCAGGCGACATCTGAACACATTAAAAATCAAAAGTTAGAAGAAAATATGGAAATTTTCAAAATTACTAATTATTTCCATAAATATCCTGATGCATATCATTTTCAATAATCTCATTTAAATACTGTGTAATCATTTAATTATTAACTCAAAAAAAATTCCTCTAAAAAAATGTATCTTCTTTTTTCTTAACAAAACAAAGTGGACTTTTTTTCTCATTTTTTATTTATTTTTTATCTGAAAAAATAAATTTGTCTTATGATAAAAACCAGTCGTCAATAATTATATCAAACTTAATATTCTAAAGTAAATGGATTGTAATTGGATTGATTCAAACTTTTTAATCAAGCTGAATATTCCATTCAAATAACCAAATGTCAAATGAAAAAAAAAAATAAAATTATGAAGAAATACTTTTAAATGCTAAAGCCTATTGAATGCATATTGATCATTTGAACATTCACATGTCATTTTAAATATGTATCACAAAATAATAGAAGTTATTTATTTTATTTTTACATTTAAAAAAAATTTTTTTTTAATACTGTGGATAATGAAATAACATTTCAAAAGAAATGTCTGAGAAGTTTATTTTCTAAAATTTATCTAAAATATAATATAGTTCAGGGGTGGCCAAGCTCCTTGATAGTCAAGCCATTTTTCAAAATTTGAAATTTTTCGAGTGTCGCAATTAAATACGTATTTAAAAGGCATGCAAAAAAGGTATTAAAATTTTTTTACAGAAATTATATTTATTGAAAACATATAAATAAAAGTAAAAAATATGTGCATTGAATTTTAAAATTAAACACATTTATTTTACTTCTCTTGATAATTCTTTCAAATTTAATGAATAATTACGGACAGTACTTCTCAGTAATTATTTGAGATGCTGGTTAGTTAATACTGATCGGTGTTTGGATTTCACGAATTTTAAAGTGGAGTAAAATTATTCACATAAGTATGTTGTTCTGAATATTGAAATAATTCGACAAGCAGCCTTTTTTAATTCAGGATACTTCAATTCTGGTACAAATTTCCAAAATTCGGAACATACGGAACGATAATAATTTTTTAAAATATAATAGCACAAAAATGAAAAGGGAACTCGGGTACATTATCGAGAGCCACAAAGAATCCTTCAAAGAGCCGCATGTGGCTTGTGAGCCACAGGTTGGCCACCCCTAGTATAGTTAATAAAAAACATAAAACAACTTACGTTGATGCTAATAAAGTTCCGTCAGGTGAGAATCGGCAAGACATAACATTTCCAGAATGTCCTTCAAGTGTAGTAATAAGACATATATTTTGAGTAGAATTGGTTTCAACTGACCATATTTTCACCAAATCGTCATTACCACAGGATGCCATCATATAATTTCCACTAAGAAACCCACTCTCAGCTTTAAAATGAAAAAATGCTCAATTCAAAGTTTCTTTAATTACTTATGTTTAATTACTTATGTTTAATTATTTTATAATTAAATGCAAGAATTTATGATATATATTGGTACATAGTTTCCAGTTTCATTAATCTGAAATATAGAAAAATGTAATTAGGGTATATTTAATAAATGTGAGCAATGTTTGGAAAGAATACTGGAGATTCACTCGTTTGGATTTGAAATAAAATATTTAGTATTCAGACATTTTAGATGATTGAGTAGATTCTGAAGCATATGCATGACTTACTCATATGCTATTAATAAGACAATTAATGCAAAACACTTCATAAAATTAGATGTATTTATTGCAAAATAAGCATTAATAACAAAAATACATCAAATTAATGTTTTTCAAACACTAAATGAACAAAAACCTTATTTTAATATGGATTAAATAGCTGCTTAAGACACAAAGGATTAAAAAATTTCTTGTAAAAAAAAAATATTTTATTAAAAACAGCAGCCTGAGTTACAAAAAATTTGAAAAGCAGAAGCATAATAAATATGTAAATTCCATAAGAATTAAAAATGTAACATTTCTATGCAGCTAATTATTAGTTTATATTGTCTTTCTCAAAAACTTATTTCTCAAACAGAGCAAAAAGTAATACTGATTTTTTTTTTAATTTTATGAAAGAAAAAAAATAATAAAGAAAAATGAGGGAAATTTATTCAAAATAATTGCAGGTGAAAATAGCATTACATTTAGACACATCTGTATAAAAATGAAGAGAATTATGAACAAGTAACAATTTGAACATTTTGAAAAGGTCAAATCAAAAATAGCTGAAGTTTGAAAATTCAAATTTACAGCAAAACATTCAGGGATTAAAAAAAAAAAGAAAATAAGCTAGGTGAGAAAATGTTCTGTTTTGTGAATTTTGACAAAAAAAAGTATTAAGATAGTGTTATAAGCACAAAGTAGATATTCAAATGTACTATTCAATTAAATATTTACAAAATTTTGATTTTTCCTTTCAAAACAAACAAACAAAAAACAATAATTCATTTCAAATAAAAATTTTGTGATTAGCAGCATTCTCAAAATAGTAACTAATGATAGTCAAATTTTGATCATTAGTATTAAAGGTAGCTTTTAAAAGATGATAAAAAAAAATTATGTTTTATCATCTCATTCTCGGATGCAATTATATGCTTAATAAAAAAACAATATTTACTACTTTTTTTTAAAACTTAAATCTAATGAAAATTTTTTCTGGCCAAGATTGTTGGTTTTGTACGTACTAGCTTTAAATAATTATCAAATTGATACAAATTTATGATGAGATTTTAATAAAATTGACTCCTTTTTTTTAAAAAAAAAATATTTAGAATACACTTAAAATGCAAAAATAAACACTTAAAATTATTAATGATACGAAATTTATCAGAAACTCTTTATATGAAGGAAAGAAAAAAATTATAAATAAAAGTTTAGCTACTCCAGTATTATTTCTTAGTTGAATTTGAAATATACATTCATATAAATCAAGTGGATATAAAATATTCTTTGGAGTAAGAGGAAGGTAAGTGAATCATAGCAGAATTCAGAAATATAATTTTATTTAGTATTTTTGTATTACCATGTAAATTTTTTAAAAATGACATTATAAAACTATTGTTCCATATTTTCTTCCCTCACAATAACACTGAAAATTAAGTAAAATTATGTCATCAAATTATTCTATTGACTAAATCTTCCTCTTGCTTATTCCAAAAATAAAAAACGCAAGATAATTACCAAAAATTATTAAATATAATATTATATTGCATCAAAACCAATGCAAAATGACATTACTGTGAATGCAAATAATATTAATTTGCATAGAATCTAACATTATATAATGCAAAGAAAACAGCAACTTTTAATACCTTTCTAAAATTCAAAAGTTAAACAAAATAACGTTACGTTTTTTGATGTTATCTAATATTATGTGATACTTGCAACAGATTTACTTCTTATTTAACAAGCAGCAAATTATAATAATCTTCTAATTTTTTTGTGTGTGTGTGATTAGAGAAAGGTTCTAAATATGAACTTTAAATTTTTGCTTCATTTAGAATTGTTATTTAAAACTTAGTAGAATTTTATTGAAAAATAAATCAGTAAAAAATTAGTACCTAATCATACTTAATTCACATGAGAATGGTAAGTGTTTATTACAGACTGGGGTGAATTTCATGTGAATTTTGATTTGATAGATATCTCTGAATATTTTAGAAACATTTTAAAATAAATAAAAACTGGTTGAAATAAATAAAAATAGCTTAAAACTGAAATCTACTTTTATATGGGATGCTAATTTAGTGATTATAAAGTTTCATTGTGTTTGTTCAGTTTTATATTTTACTGTGAAATAAATTTGCAGTATATATTTTATATGCATTCTAAAACCTTTATAGTAGGTATCATTTTTTGTTGTTTAAATATTTCCTCTAAATATTGTAACGCTAATTATTTTACTTGTTTCACCTCATACTAAGCCCAACAGCATACCTGGTAATTAAGTTTTTACGAAACCATAAAATTCAAAAAGGATTCTGAAATATAAGACTCCTAATGTCTAACATTGTATTGTGAGAGGGCACAAAAACTGGACGCTGCACACCCTATGCCCCTATAGTCCTCACCTTTATTTTCAGAACAAAGTAGTAATAAATAATGGCGAAAATTTGATTTTTGATTAGAAATATGCAGCTTAGAAAAAAGTTTACTCTAAAATTCTATAAAAAGTTCAAGTTAATTAAACTTTATTATTTTATAATTAGTCCATAAAAGGAATGATTTCAAATTTCACTTGAAATTCATTATGAATTTCAAATTTTGCCTACTGTTGGCAACTTTTATAGTGCATATCATTACAATTTGGTTATGAAACTAAATACATTAGACTCAAATAATAAGAAATTTATTTTCCAAAAAAGTTTCCAAAATGTTATTTGAATAAATTTAATTCAATTCATAACATTAAATATGTCATAAACAAGATATCTTAAAAGCACCATACTTATGTCATAATAATGATACTTTTGGACATTTTTATTTGGGGAGTGGGTGAGACAATGTCACCCCATGTGTAAAAATATTCAAATTATACTAATTTCTAAAACTTAGCAGCTTTAACGAAATCTGTGATTGAAAGTTTAACGAAGACAGAAAATTCTATGAAACTAAAACTTAAAGACTTACAAACAGTTTCATACTGAGGGCTAAAATCACAACTTAGGATTCCTAAATCATGAGCATTAGCAACAGTTGTTAAGCATTTCCCATGTCCATAACGAGAATCCCATAATATGATATCACCAGCAGTTGAGCAAGATACCAAAAAAGCACAATCAGGAGTAAAAGCTACAGCTGTAACCATGGCCTCATGCTCCTCCAAGATTCTAGCAATAGAAAAATAAATTTACATTGTATAATTAAAGGAGTAAGCTTTGATCAGAAAATAACTCGAATATTTCAATGCAATTTTAACGGAAAAAATACTGCAAAATATAATTTTCACTAAACATAGTAGTCAAATAAATTTCTAAAATATATTTTTCCAAATGTGGATAATTTCATTCAGCTGCAAGACATATGCAATCTAACCATAATGAATAGATAGCTAATTGTAAAGATTCCTGCACTCTTAAAAAATTATCCCAGGGAAATATATCTGTTTCAAAAAGAAATCACTTTTCAAATAAATATTAAATTTATAACAAAATTTCTTGAATAATCATATTTTTCTTAAAATAAAAGGTCAGAGTTTACACCTTTGAATTAAAGAGTGAAAATATAATGAATTACAAGGCTAAGAAAAAAATAGCACTACACCAGAATTTAATTCACTCTCATTGAAAAGTAATTCTCCTTAGAGAATACTCTAATGTATAATTGTTACAAAATTGATTTCGAAAGTAAGCATTTTAAAAACTTTATTTTTTTTTCTTTCATGGTAAAAATATTACTTAAGATACATTTTATATTAAAAGAATAAAAATATTTTAAGTATCACAGTATATATAATGTACAATTGTTTTTATAATAATACTTTTTAGTGCATAAATTCAAAGTCATAGCAAGAATTTTTTTACACAGAATAAAATACATATTTCTTACATTTAATATTACTTTTTTATTTCCAATTTCATATATATTTAATCAACATAGTAATAAGACAGGCTAAATTATTGCAAGGAGCATTAATACTTTTTGACATGCAAACTAACATGCTTATTACTATAGTCAAACAGCTTCTTTTGGCAAAACGAACACCACTTTGTAAATAAAGTTTATTAGCAATTGTGAGCATATTCACCAAGAAAGAACTACTATATGTTTCAAAAAATTTAATGAGAAGACTGAAATATCATCGCATCATCAGTAATAGCACCTAATAATCTAAAAATTAGTATCTATGTCAGACAATTGAATTTTTAAGTCTGGAGCATCATCTAGCCCAATTCTAAATCTGTTTTTGGTGAATGCAAAAGCTAAAAATATAGAAGTACTCAGCCAAAGTTAAATTTTCGGTGAAATAGTCGAATCTTTGTATCACTATCTAAGCAAAAAATTATTCAATAAATTTATCATTAATGAATATTTCCTTCCAAAATTGAATATTTATTACATAAAATACATCTTAGACAGAATCTATTGCGTATTTAGTAAACAGAACTTGTAAATACAATTGCTTTACAACTTTACAATAAAATTGAAAAAAGTTACACAGTAGTCTCATAATAGCGTCGTCCTTGAATCATGCTTTCTTCCTCATATTCTTTAGGATTCTTCACAATTCTTATCTTAACTTTTGCATTGTAAGTTTAGCTTCAATATTTAAATGTAGATTTAATATGAAAACTTAATCCATCATTGTAGATTTCCTCTCATTACTATAACGTTTATTATTACAAAAAAGAAGACAAAAGAAGTAATGTGTATTCATAAAATCAATCTGTAAATAAATAGATTGTTGTCTTATTAAAATCTTTCTAATGTAAGTATTTTACAATTTATTAAAATATACTTACTTTTAGGTATGCATGAATAAATTGATTGTGTCAAATTAATTGGATTATAAACTGTTTTACATAAAATTGGTATTAAATGTGATAATTAATAAGTTTAAACATTTAATTTAGGAGGATTATTTTTATTACTATTTGGTTATTTTCATTAATACAAAATTAAAATGAAACATAGAATATAATTTTTCACTTTTAGTTCTATATATATTGTTTTTACAAAATATAGTACCTAAATAGCAGCAGAAAAAAATTTATTAGAAAAATAGTTATGAAACAAAATTAAATTGGGAAATTCAAAATAATCTATTAGACACTGTGATTAGGCAATTACGTATGAATGGCAAACTGAAGTTTTGATAGCATAAACATTAGCCTAAGTAAGAGATCACTATATATTTATATTTTATTTTTATTTTTAATTAATCAGTTTCAAATAAAATAAAAAATATTTTCATTCACTATTAAATCATGTCTCAACAAAGTAATTTCTTCTCTCTTTCATTCTGTTTTTTTCTTCCTGCCATTCATACTGTTTTTTTTTTTTTTTTTCATTATAACATATTAAATAAATCTCTCATTTTTCCATTAGTTTCTTTTCCAATACAATTCAAGAGTTTCTTAGCATCAAAAATCAAAATCTAAATGAGGAAAGTGTATATTTTAAACATTATTTTATGCCCATTTTTGTAACTTTATTTTTTTATTCACAATACTTTGCTTTATTCATCAAAAATTCAATCATTTAAAAACTTTTGAACAATTATAAAAGAATAAATATTTAACCATCTTTTTATTATAATATATTAGTTGATACTCATATTACAAATATTCTTAAAACTTAGTTCCTTTAAATAATGGTATTACTTTTTCATAATGATCTAAGTTAGACTGTATTTTAACAACTGATATTTTGAAGATCTTTGGAATAGCATTTTTTTTAAAAATATAATTAATCATTGTTCACTTTGACAATCTTACAATAAAAGAAAACTACATTAGATTTAAAATATTTTTAATGGATTGAAAACATTTTTAATTAAGAACAGGTATTTAATCTAATTAGTGTGTGCTACATGAAATCTTTTTTAGATTGAGACAGGGTTTCCGCTACGGTAGCTTTTTTCGCAAAATGCGAAAAGACCCCTCAAAAATGCTAAAATTCAACAAAGCATTTTCGCATTTTTGCTAAAGGATTTTACTAAATTCCATTAAAAAAAAAGCTTCCGCGAAAAACCATGACGCTAACATCCATGAAAAAAACTTGATCAAACAAGAAGGAAAAATCTAAATATCTTTCGCAAGAAGAACCATGACGCTAGCGTTCACGAAAAAAACGTGATCAAACGAGATGAAGCATAGCGATCAACAAAAATGGCT